AGTGGGAGGGGCAGGGGAAAGGAAAGAAGGGAAAGGAAAAATTATGAGAAAAGGAAAAAATGGAAACAAAGTCTTTGTAAATAGGGAAGGGAGCACAGGGAATGGCGAAAAAATAAGAACCAAGATACACATGTACAGGTACAAGCACCCGATGATAAATGTAAATGTACTGTATACCTAAAATGTGCCAATAAAAGAATTTAAGGAAAAAAAGAAACAAAAATATACCTCATAAATGACTTCTTTTCATAAACTGTTTCATACTAAAATGATAAGCGATAGATCTTAAAATTCTACTTCAGGTTCCAATTCAATTCCATCAGGGGTATTTACTCAACACCTACATACCACAGCTACGTACTAGATGTACATTAGTTTTCAAAATTTAAATCACATCATTTCCATGAATGCTTCTAACAGAATCCAGACTTAGTCTCTTCTTAGTTATAAAGCTCTGAAAAAGGATGCCTATCTAATATAAATTACCTCATGCAAGAATGGCAGTTCATCCCTTGCTTTGTGGTATTCAGCCACACACTCCAAGCAGTAGCAGAGATCTTCATCAGCTGTTTGGAATTCACGGTCCTGGGTCTTGGACGATGCATAGCACTTCAGGAAGTCAGTGGTGGAAATACCACCTGGTGTACACCAACAACATGTGCTCATTCTGCACCTATATCCAGAAAAGAAGACATCTAAAATCTTAAGTCAAAAATAACACCTCACACTCATTCTGTGTGAAGAATGCGTACGCTGTCTAGTTGTGACCCAGGTCTTCAACTTAAATGTGCTTCCACAGCCAGAATGTTCTGCTAGGCACCTTATCATCACTGAACTGACTTACTGCAGGGAACGGATGGAGCTCAGTGGTAAGAGTGCCAGCCTAGCATGTGTAAGGCCCTAGGTTCAATCCCCAGCACTGCAAAAGAAAAACAAACCCGAAAGCCAGTCGTTAATAATAAACAGCATAAAGCAAAACACAGCTGTGCTAGAGAGAAGGGTCAAAACTGTGCAGAAGACCAGAGCACAGTGGTGCACAACTCTAATCCCAGTACCATGGGAGGCTGAGGCAGGAGACCCAGCCTGAGCAATTTAGCAAGATCCTGTCTCAAATTAAAAAAAAACAAAAAACACTTAAAAGGCCCTAGGTTCAAACCCAGTACTGGGAGGAGGAAAAAAAAAACTATGTATAGTACTGATGGAAAATACACATAGACACAGTCTTATCAGTTTTCAAAGTAGAGATTTTAGAATATCCTAATAATTCACTGGCAGCAAAATCAAAAGCTCAAGAGCTCTTTCATCTTCCCAGAAGCCCTGTTCCAGAACTCTCTGTAAACATAAAAATCCTTTAAGAGAATAAACTTTTTGTAAAAATCACTTGTAAAGGGCCGGGGATTTAGCTCAGTGGTTCTGCCTCCTGCCTCACAAGCGCAAGGACCTGAGTTCGATCCCTGGTACCAAAAAAAAAAAAATAACAAAGAGATCTCTAATGGTGTGTAATAAATATAATGTAAGATACTATATTTTTCCCTATAAATAAATGCATTTATAAAAACTAGCAGAGGAAAAAAAAAAAAAAAAAAAACTTGCAGAGGGCCAGGAATTCAGCTCACTTGAAAGGACAAGTTCCTGAGTTCAATCCTCAGTATCAAAAAAAAAAAAGAAAAGCTACCAGAAAGCCCATTAGTCAACAGTATACTGTGCCCACATAAAAAGCAAATGTGTGTACTGATAGTACATTAAATAAATCAGGTCGGGCAGAGGAAATGAAAAGTGAGCCTGGAGAACAGTGTAATGACAGAGAATCAAAAGCGCTCCCTAGGGGCCAGGGATTTAGCTCAGTGGTTTCGCCGCCTGCTACCCAAGTGCAAAGACCCGAGTTCGATCCCTGGTACCAAAAAAAAAAAAAAAAAAAAGCGCTCCCCCAGACCTACAGTTGAAACAATTAGAATCACTAAAAATTCATCTATACCAACACAAATAAAGGAACGAATAAACAAACAGGACAGAGAAAATTCATCTTCCTCCTGCAAGAATCCCAAAAAATTATACATATTCTGTTACAGAGGATAGAGCTTAATCCCAGCTCCCTTGAGTACAGGCTGGAATAAATGAATCACCTTCAAAGAAAACAATTTGGAAAAGGAAAAACCATAACTGTATCGTGAAGACATCTGAATGCTACGGTTTACACAGTATCTAGATGGCCCCCCAAAGCCTCCTGCACTCGTGGTGGGGCTGTGGGGGTGATCAAATCACGGGGGCACGAGTTTAGTCGCCGACAGGTTTACAGCTGAGTGTGCTGTTGGGGGGCAAAGACTGGTTGCAGGAGGCGGGGCCCTGGAGACGTGGCCTGGAAGGGTCTGTCTCCCTCCTTCCTCCCACAGCTATGCCACGGACTATTTCTCCTCTGCCATGCCACCCTGCCTTGGAGCCAGCTGACTATCAACTGAAGCCTCTACAGACCCGCAGTCAACATAGACCTTCCCTCCTCAGAGTTGCAGAGGCTAAGACACCTGGCAAGCACAACCTTTACCAGTCAATCAAGGTTAAACTAACCAGGAATAATGTTGCTATACCCTGATACAAAGTGATAAGAAACCTAAACTCTGTAGTTGCTTCCCCAAAGCCTGTCATACAGAGTTCATAGAAAAAATATCAGACACACCCAAACTGAGTATTATCTAAGCAACTATCTGCCAGTCTACTGAAATAAAAGGAAGACAACCATACCCAAGAGGAATCAAGTGTTCTTTCACATGAAAACAATCATTAGGAATTGGGCCAGAAAATTATCCAACTGACCTGATCTTTAAAAACTTAACCTTCAGCTAACTATCCGATGACTGTTAATTATCAACCAAATTGGGTGATGGGAGGATTACAGATCCAATATAAATTTATTCCACGAAGCAAATGACCCTACCTCACCCATTCTCATCAGGGTAGGTAATATCCTAACAAAGGTAAAAACTCATCAGTGAGATATGAAAAAATCCTACTCTTCTGACATTTAAAGCACATGTATATATCAAGAACTTAACAGGCAGACAACATATTAAAATTTCTAACAGACAATTAGAAAAAAAAATCTAAATAGTCTCCCTTCAGGAGGAAAAAATAAAACAAAAGGAAACCTAAACAAAGTCTCTAAATGTTTGGATTCAGAAATTTGGCAACGTGGCCAGGGATTTAGCTCAGTGGTTCCGCACCTGCCTCGCAAGAGCAAGGTCCCAAGTTTGATCCACGGTACCAAAAAAAACAAAAACAAAAAAACTATCCAGGCAAAAGCTGGACAAGCTGGTAGAGAAGCTCAAAGCAGAAAAAAACTAAAAAATAAGATTTCAAAAAAAAAAATTAAAAGTAAGATTTCAGGGCCGGGGATTTAGCTCAGCGGGTTTTGCCGCCTGCCTCGCAAGCAGAAGGACCTGAGTTCGATCCCCGGTACCAAAAAAAAAAAAAAAATAGTAATAAGATTTTAAAAAAAAGGTCAAAACTCATTTAGGAGGAGTACAATTTCAGCATCCAAAAATTAGAAGTTTCTTGAGAAGTGGAACAAAAAAGGACAATGTGAATTACATAGTCTTCATCTGAAGAAAAGAAAAAAAAAATCTTGAAAGGACATCAAAATACTAGAATAGTTTGCAGAAGCTGTTTTATCCGGTGATCTAACTCAATGCAGGAAGTGAACTCAAATCTAACAACAGAAAGTGAAACTTCAGAGATGTCCCAAACACCAATTGTTTCAAGCATGACTTCAGCAGATAAAAAGACCAACCAATCTAAACTTTAAAAAACTTACGGGAGGGCTGGGGATTTAGCTCAGTGGTTCCAGTGCCTGCCTCGAAAGCTCAAGGTCCCAAGTTCGATCCCCAGTACCAAAAAAAAAAAAAAAAAAAAACTTATGGGACTGTAAATAAAATATTGGGTACTTTAAAATAATTACCAGAGCAGACAGCAAAAGGAATGTACTGAGGGCCGAGGATTTAGCTCAGCGGTTCTGCCACCTGCCTTGCAAGCGCAAGGTCCCGAGTTCGATCCCCGGTACCAAAAAAAAAGAAATGTACTGAGAAACTAGTTGAGGTTTTATTACACTCAGTGAGGGAGCCTATTTTCACACTCCAGAAGGCAGGACTCAATTTCCTTAGAGTAGACCGGAGTTACTGACACAAAGAAAGGTAAGCACCATGGAATCTAGAATCCATACAAAATACTGCTGTAGAGCACAACATACAGAGAAACATTCTCTCGTTTCTCTCAAAAGGCCAAAACATGTAATTATGTTCTCAAATCTAAAGTCATTATGGTTCAAGAGCTAAGCCCAAGAAATCTCAGTAGAGAGTACTCGTTTTAAGGAGAAAATTATTGCTCATAAATGACTGAAGCCACTATGTCTTCAGTTCTTAAGGTCTGCTTTACTTTCACTGGACTGGAACTGCTTGGAGTCATTACTGAACCATAAATGAGAACGACATGCTATTCAAGATGCAGGACAAAAATAAGTAACTCTCTGAGCAACAACCGATGCTTCACCAGAGATGTAACTCTAACTTGCCATAGACTTATCTTTGGGATATCATTTCTCAGTATTAACTAGCCACAAACATCAAGCAACAATCTCTTTTACCTTTCCCAGTTAATCTGTTTTCAGGAATGTGGGATGGAGTGCTTGGGGTCAAAGTTCCCAGAATGGTCGGCACAGGTGTACAGGTAATACTGGACTTCTCGGTGCTGAGGAGACTGTATGTCGTCCTAAATTTTCTTTACGGCCATCTGTTCTGTTTACTGAGGGCAGCATGGCCCTTTAGTGGTTTCCTGTTGTTTGTGGAGCACAGCATGTTTGCTGAGGGGGTCCCACTTACGTCGGGCACGACAGACTCTAACTTGTATGAAATGCTACAGCAATATACTGTGCTCCGGACACTTGACCTACCCAATAATCCTCAATAATCACTTCCTCCTTTGCTCAACATCCAAATATCAAAGTCTCCAAAGGCTTGAGACTTCTAATTTCTTCATTATTCTCTTTTTTGGGTGACCTTATTTAAACTGTTTCAGCTACTACCTATATTAAAGCTTCCCAAAGATGGAAAATTTTCCTTTTCTTCTTTTTTGAGATGGGGGCGCTCTATGTTCCCTGACTGGTTTTAAATTCCTGGCCTCAAGTAATCCTCCTGCTTCAGACTAGCACGTAGCTGAGACTACAGGTGCACACCCCACTTAAAACCAAACCAAAACAAACAAAAACACACTTTTCTTGAGGTGCTGGGGACATAAAACATGTCTCTACTTACATGTCTGGCAGAACAAAGTTCTTCCCTTTAGTCTGTTGTCTGTCCTTTGGTCCCTGGATTGACAACATTACCATCCATTCAACTTTCAAGCCAGCAGCCTAGGACTTGCCCTGTACTCTCCTTTGGCCTTAGCCTTACCTGAGTCCCAGTCTCCCTCCCTACGTCTACCCCTGCACTTTCTTCTCAGTGTCACTGCCGCTGGCTTAGTTTAATGTATTTTCACTTATCTGCCTGATGACTGAAGAAGCCTAAATGATTGCTGTCCTTTATTTGACCCATCACTAATCATTGCTCCAAAATGTTCCCAGAGGCCCAAACACACACTGGACTTCAAAAGAAGATGACTCCTCCACTTGCTTTGGGATAAAACTCAAATTGTTGAACTCATTATGGAGGCCCTCCACAATGTGGCCTCAGAGCATCTCGCTGTTACCTCATACTTACCTCTTCCTAAAACACTTCATGGTGCTTGGCATTCCCTGACTTTATAGCTCTTCTATCTGCCTTGAATACTCATCCTTCATATCTCTGCCTGGTTTTTAATCTCAGGAACTTTAAGAAAAAAAGTAAATGATCAGATCGAGTTGGTAGAACTCAGATTCAAGTTTAAAGCCCTCCTCTGGCGACTCCAGCAGGAGCCACCCGTGTGCTCTGCTCCCCGAGTGGCATCCCCCCTCCCCTCCAGCTGTCTCTGCTGACCTCCCACTTGCTCCAGCCCCCACGAACCTGCGTGTGATGCCACCCTGTGCGCATCGGGCGGGGGGAGTCTCAATTGCCACTCACTCACTTGCCCAGCGCTCAGAAATCCCGAGTCTGTTAGGGCAAGGACCTGTTCTACATAGTTTTGTAGCACCAGTGCTTGATAAACATTAAACAACTGGGGGAAGAGTCTTACAAGTTTAAAATAATTACCTTGGCAAACGCCCTGAAGAAAGTGATCCTCTCAGTTCAGACGGCTGTGCTAGTTAAGGACAGGCATTCACACATATCCAGACCTTGGGCTCCTGAAGAATATTTCTGAGATGTAAAAAGAACAGCTGACACAGTGGCTCCCCAGAGCCCCGGGTCAACCCCACAGCCAGCCAGGGCTGCCGATGAGACAGGTGCACATGTCGACGGCCTCGTCCTGCGGGGCCGTCCACGCTCGGGCAGCTGGCCTCTCGGCCACCCGCGGCCCAAATCCGCCGCGCAGGTTCCTTCCCCCTGGATGCCCGAGACAGACTCGGCGCCGCCACTCTCCGCCCGCCCAGGACCCTTTAAGGCGGGCGGGAGGGCGGGCGCCGGCGGGGACAGGCGGGCCCGAGGGCGACACTGCCAGCCAAGGACCCTGGCGCCCGGGAAACTGCGCGGCGCGACAGAACCGGCTCGCCGAGACTCGGCCACCCCAGGCGAGGCGGGCCGGGCCGGACCTGCGCGCAGGAGCCGAACGCGGACCCCGCCTCTCCCCGGCTCAGCCGCGTGCACCTCCCGGCCGCGCGCTCCCGCCGCCCGGTTGCGGCCTCCAGCGAACCACCCGGCTCACCCCGCTCCGCCGCGTCCACCGCTAGCGCACGTCCATGCCTGGACTCCCAACCTCCGCCGCCGGAAGTGCGAGCGGAAGCCCGGGGCCAACCCGCAGTCGCCGCGAGTGCAGGCCCCGCCCCCTCCGCGACGGTCTTGTTTTGATGCGCGGAGAAGCGGGGCGTGGAAAGGAAAGCAGCAAACCCGGCGGGCAGACCACGCCCAGGGCGGGACGTCACTTCCGGGATGCAGGGGCTCGACCAATCAGGAGCGCCCGTCCGAGCGGCCGGGAAAAGTTTGCCGCGGCCCTCAGCGCCTGCCGGCCCTCGGGCGGTTAGCAGCCGTCGGGAGGGGGCGCGAGGGCGGCCCCGGGGCTCGAGGATTACGCTCGCCCCGCGCGCGCGGCCCGGCCGGGGCGGTCCGCACGGCTCCCGAGCTAGTTTGTTTCTTTTTCTTTTCGGTACCGCTTGCGAGGCAGGCGCGGCGCCGCTGAGCTACGTCCCCGGCCCCCCCCCAGCCAGTTTTAACCCGGAAAATAAGTTTGGGAGCGGACAGAAGCACAGAGGGCTTCGTCCTGCTCGCGTCGCGCCTACCTCCTGCTGCTTCTGCGCTTCTCCCCTTTTCAACGCCCAGGTGTTCCGGCCGGGTGTGCTCCAAACCTAAAACACGGCAACCTGCAAACAGGCAATGGGGACGCATGCACACTTTGTATAACAGGAGAAAACATCGGGTTAAAAACGCAAGCGGCGCCGTATCAGAGTAAACCGGGCGAGCGCGGGTTAAAAACGCAAGCGGCGCCGTATCAGAGTAAACCGGGCGAGCGCGGCGGTGCACGCCTGCAATCCCAGCGCTCCGGGAGGCTGAGGCAGAGTGATCACCAAGATCAAACGAATCAGGGCAATTTAAAGACTGAGCCACTCCCAGTCTCAAATTTCAAAAAACAATGAAAATAAATAAATAACAATGTAAACAGCCTAGCGAGCTACTTCAATTTCCAGTACCAATGGGAAGTAAAAAATAAAAAATCCAAAGTAAAATAATGGACTGGCTCAGTGGCGCCGCACCTACGTCGCAAACACAAGGTCCTGAGTTCAATCCCCGGTACCGCAAAAAAATAAAAATAAAAAAACTCGACTGGCAAACCTTCGCCCTTTTTAACGCCTGCTCTTGGACCTGACAAAGAGGCCTGAGCCCTGGCTTCTGTAAGTGAACAAAATCATCACTGTGGTGGCCCCTACCAGAGACGAGAAGAGGTTGGGCAAGAACGGTCTTACCCCGCAGAACCCTGACCCAGGAATGGACCTGACGGGAAGAATGCCAGGGGAGACCCCAGCCAGGGAACGTTCTAGAAAGGGGTGTGGCTTGCTGGAAAAGGACCGTTAGGATTTAATCCAGAGCCTGGGCCGTTATTTTCCTCCCTTCCACACTTACCCTGCTCTGCTCAGTTATTACCCTGGTATTCAAACAGAGTGTTCAGATGATAGACTTTCAAAGCCCTTTCGCACTGTACATTAGAAGTTGTGTATGTAGCCCTTTTTCCTTTGTTCTTTGTTTGTTGTTTTGGTTTTTGAGCCAGGGTCTTGCTATGTAGTGAAAGCTGGCCTTCAAATCACTATATAGCCCAAGCTGGCCTCCAACTGGAGGCAATCCCGTCTCAGCCTCCCACGTACTGGGATCATAGACATGTGCCACCACAGTCAGCTTGCATCCTTTTTGAAAGAAGACTTTTTGTAATGCTTTAAAAAAACATACAAGGATCTGGAAAGTTATTGAAAACTAGAAAAATTAAAAGGAGGGGAGAGAGCTTTACAAGATTGTTAGGAAAAAGGAGGAACAAAGATAAGAGCTCAACAGGCCAGGATGTGGTGGCCGGACTCCTTCAAAGCTGGCCAAACTCCTGGATTTCTGCATCCATGGTATAACCATGCCTGACATTTTGGAGTATACGCATGCTAATGGCATGACATAGATTTAGCTGTATACTGTATTTCTTACTGATTTTATTAAAGTAGCTATGAAAGAATATAAATGGCAAGCTAGTCACTGTAGTATAAGAAACATCTCCCTAAGTTCTGAACAGGGAGACATGGTAAACTGGGCCTGGAACCCAGAGTAATTTTAAGTGGACATGAAATATTCATATTCATTCTCATTCATTCTCACTCTCTCCCTCTGCCCTCCCTCTGCTATTCTTCCCCTACACCTCTGTCCAGTCCCAGCCACAACAGTGGACGCTGTACTCCTACAAAAGGGTCACTCAGGGTGAAATGCCACCGTGGTCTCAGGCGGGGCTGGCGCCTGCTCTGATTAGCAGCTCTCATCACATTGGGTTCCATCTGCTCCCCCGAGGCAGCTGGGCCCCTCTGCAGTGTAGTCACCTCTGTCGAGTGGAGAAGGCTTCACTAGTGACCTCTCCTCACTACTCACGGAGGGAAACAGCCCCACTGCAGCCCCAACATCCGGGCACATTCTGCTGGCCCCCAGTGGGGTTCAACTCCCGCATACACTGCCAGGCTGCAGACTGTGGCTGAGTTGCTGGAGTGCCCTCCCCTCCTGGTGGCCTAAAGGGCAACAGTGTCAAAAGGCCATGTGGCTCCAGCGGAGTGAGAGGACCCAGGGACGCCCTGTGTGCTTAGCCGGGTTTCCACTAGACGTGGGGCTCCTGCAGGGCCAGAGTGGGGTGGCTGGGTGGCAGCCGGAGCCTTCGTGTGATGCCAGGTTTCCCTGATGGAGCAGCCATCCCGGGATTGCAGCTACAGGAAGTTGATTAAAAGCACTTACGCTCTACTTACGCTCTACTTACACGTGCCCTTGACTGTCAGCCAGAAGCAAAATCCAATGGTGTCTCCACCTACGGCATGAAAGAGCCCTCGGGCCTATGTGGTGGGGAGGGTAGGCCGCAGTTCTCTCCCTTCGCCCTGCAGAGAGGCTGGAGGTCAGAGCCATGGCCAGATGCTTTTATTTTTCCCTCTTGTGTGTTTTAGCAAGAACATCTAAAGATATCTAACAATTCATTGCTAGCGATTTGGTCATCAGGAAATAAAAACTTTCATTTTTTTCTTTAACTTTTTACTCTGAACATTGCCAAATAGAAATAAATTCCAAAGAATAGTGAAAGAATATCCTAGATAATATTTTTCATATGCTTATATGTTTTTAGTACTATAAGCATCTAAAAATGTATCACAGCCATGCCTTTTTTTCTTTTTGCATGTTATTTTTAATGTGAAGCAAGTCCTATGCTGGTCAACGTACACCTAGGATGTGACCACCATTGTCTCTCTCTTGGATTGCAGGGACAGCTCTCCCATAAGTTTTTTGCTGTTGGTGGTGGTGATGTTGTAATTGATCCCTTCAGGAACTTTGGAAAAAATAATAGTATCACATTGGTGTTTTACTTAATCTTCCCACTAGCTTTTATCTGACACAGAGTGAAAGCCAGGGTCTATGTTAGGAACCACAGGGCTCCATGTAATCTGGGATCCTGATAGCCCGCTGATATTATATCTTACTTTTATTTATTTTTTGGTACCAGGGATCAAACTCGGGACCTTGCGCTTGCGAGGCAGCCACTGGAACCACTGAGCTAAATCCCCAGCCCAATTTTACTTTTATTTTTGTCTCCACCTAGCTTACCTGTCCTCCAAGATGTAGCATCACCTCCTCCTCATCTTAGAGAGAGGGAGACGGAATAAGTGAGAATTTTTTTTTTTTGGCTCACATGTACCATTAACACAGAGTCTATACTACAAAAATTAACTATTGGGGGCCGAGGATTCAGCTCAGTGGTGCCATCACCTGCCTGCAAGTACAGTTCAATCCCCGTACCCCCCCCCCAAAAATTAACTGTTCAGCCAGGGATGTAGCTCAGCAACGCAGTGCCTGCCTGGCAAGCGCAAGCCCCTGACTTCGATTCCCAGTACCAAAAAGAAAAAAAATCAACTATCTTTCCAAAGCTAGTCTATGTTCCACAGGGCAGATTGAATCTATAGGCCAACTGTGTTTCGTTCTGTTTTGTTTTGTTTTTGGCACCGTGGATCGAACTTGGGACCTTGGGCTTGCGAGGCAGGTGGCAGAACCACTGAGCTAATCCCCGGCCCCTGTGTTTTTAAAAATAAATTTAAACTACCCAGCAACATTTAATTATCAGGAGATTTTATAAGAAAATGAAGATTTCTGACTGTTATTAAAAACGTAAGATCCAGGAATCCTGGTGCTGCACAATCACCCCACACTAATGTTCAGAGAGGAGAAAAGGCCTCCTCATTTGAACAGGAATCTCCTGTTTCACGTGGTCTCTCCCAGCTTTCCACACTCCTTTATGCTACCTTCCTGGCTCTGAAGGCTGTGTTGTACCCTCATTGCCAACGAACCTCCAGATCTCAGGTACAGCTACCTGGGCCCCTAAAGCCGTACAGGTTATCAGTAGGGGTCTCTGGAGAGGACAAATACCTCGACTACCAAGGAGCAACAACTGCCCTCCAAGTGATTCCAAGAACAAGTGTTATAAAAATGTTAGGATGAAGCTGCAGGACCCACGCAGAACGCCCCAAGGGGAAGGCAAAATTGGTTAAATGGCCTTGAGGACTGCTATTTCTCCCTAAAGGGCTGTCATACCTATGGTGTTGGGGAGTGTGGGGTACTGAAGTGGGTTTAGATCAGCTGTCAGTCTTGAAATAAACCAGTGATGTAGCAACGTGGGCTTGTGTGTGTTATCCAGGCGTGATGGAGGGAGGGAGTGTGTTTTTACATTACTCAGCGAGCAAGAGCACCAGAGTGACTCTTTCTTTATGAGAGCAGGACTTTGTACTAAAATTCTTTTTTTTTTTTTTTTTTTGGTACTGGGGATCGAACTTGGGACCGTGCACTTGCAAGGCAGGCGGCAGCACCACTGAGCAAAATCCCCAGCTGAAAATTCTTAATCTTGTATATGGACAGGAAGCAAGGGTCTCTCGCTGGACAATGTTTTCTTAATTTTAATTTATTCAATTTTACTCAATTTTTTTTAGTAATGTATCACCTGTTTTATTGTGATTTTAATACTCTGATACTGTCATATCACCGCGAGTTGGAAATCACCATTCCTTGTTATGAAGAGCTGTGCATCCATTGTGGAAATGCAGATGTCCTGTGGCCCTGGCAGCACAAGCCTGGCTGTAAGCCCAAGAGTCTAAGGGCTGTTATGGGTTTCTCTGTGCAATCTGAGCTAAAA